TCCAGCTTCAGATGCTGGAGAGAAGCTGATGAAGCAGATCTGTGCTTCATCAGCTTCTTCAGGGGGGTCCTAGGTGACATTAGGGGTCTTGGAGACCCCTGATGTCTCCATAAAGAGGACCTGTCACATATTACATGCATGCAAACAGGCGTCGGGGGCGCATACGTGTGAAAACGACGATTTCGCCCATTACGCCGCAGATGTTACATATCGTCGCGAACGTCGGAATGAGAGCAATAATTGTAGGGCTATCAATCACTGATAACACTAAACTGATGAGCGGTAAAAGCTTTTAAAGCGTCACCTATGGTCAATTTTGGGCATGGTAATTTTTTGCGATTTTGCGGGTGCACGCAATTTTAAAGCATGACATGTTTGGTGTCTATTTACCCGACGTGACCCCGCTTTTTATATTTTACCAAAAATATGGGTAATAAATGGGTGTGGTTACTGGGGGTGTGGCCACTAAAGGGTGTGGCCACTGAGGGGTGTGGTCACTGAGGGGCGCTGTAAAGCTTTCTCGCACAGGGCGCCTAAAGGCCTAAGGCCGGCCCTGGATGTGCGCAGGATTTTTTATCCTTATTTCCACTGGCAAACGGGTTGACAAGGGGGTGAAGGGAAGTATAAGCTTTTGCTGGGGCTGGTATCAAAGCAAACTCATCGCATGACAAAAGCACATGTTTCAATGTTTCCTATGGCTTCATGAACCAATTTCACATTCTGATCATTACAATATTCTTATTGTATCTATTACAAATATATACACGTGTAGGTATTTGTATGAGGTTGTGGTATGTATAGTGTGATTAAATATTTTTTTAATTCCATTTTTTACAGCATGCAAAAATTATATCGATTGAACAAACATTCCGAAAAAATTGATTAAAATGTAAATTCTAATTTAAAAAAACAATGAAAATTTGGATCAAATGAAACAAAACAGCAGGTATGCATGGCACTTTATAAGAATATACTCAATAGATACAATCACAAGTTGCAACTCAATCTAATGCAGACGGTTTGGAGATTAAGTTATACCCATTATTGGCTACCTCAAGTTTTTAAATATGGAAGCTTTTTGGATGCCTTTGATCCTTTTGTCTGGCTTTGTATTAAGCCTGAAGTAGGGATCTAAGGAATAGTATAATAAATCCTGCATCTTTAAAAACTTTTACGGTAGCCAATAAAGGGTATCACTTAATCTCCAAAACTTCTGTAATAATCAATGGCGGATAAGGTACAATACACTACTACAACTCAATCTAAAATATCAATGTAAACAGTGTGGGCAGCCATCAGTATTAAAAGTAAATACCCATCA